AAAAAAAAAAGAAAAGGAAATATATAAAAACTCAATGATAAGTGTGTTTCAACTGATTGTCATTCGACTTATTCTATGCATGAACACTTCAATTCCATATGATTGCATTCAATCTATTGTAACTTAAAACGATAGGAAAAAGGAAATGCACTATGTCATCGAACATGCTCTGCTTTTAAAATATATTTTTGTTCGATTAACAATGTATGTTTGTTCATCATCTTCACTTGCACTTGCTTGATTATTGTTTGACCTTGTCTATACAAATGGAAATAGTGTATGTATTTTGAATAGTTGTACCGGTATATATAGCAAACATTTACATATCCTTCAATACTTATTTAAATGTATAAAGAAGAAGTATGTATAAGACTTCCTTCCATGTTCATACTTAATTTTTACAAAAGAAATAATGTTCAATGGAAAAAAAAAATTTTAAGTCGGATGTTTAATCATTGAATAGATGTTACAATTTAGATGAACCAGATGGCTAATCAATAATATAAAATGAATGAATTGTTTAGCATCATAACAAAATGATTTAAGAAAAATTCTACAAGTTGAAAGAATAAAGTTAAAGAAATAATTTTTCTTTTTTTTATTGCTTTTTCTTTATCGGAACAGATGTATTTGTATTATATGATATCTTGTAGTGAAACTTATGTAATCATCATCATTGATTAATAACGACGACAACAATTAAAAATTGTTCATGACAATTGTTTGTTCAATCATATTCTAACGAAGGTAATTGTTGCACATATTGCAAAAGAAAAAAAAAAAAAAGTAATCGAGTGTATTCGAAAGAACTCTATTGATGTTCATGCACTTCATTGATCATCTTTCGTCTTTAAATTCTATTTCTATTCTTTATTCGTCATCATCACATTCTTATAGATCGAAAATTGATCCTCTCTTGAGAATAATCATACCATAATCGGTTACTGCATCATACTTCATAACAAGAAAAAAAAAAGCAGATCTGTCTTCATATTCTTTATATTTGAGAGAATCGATGTGTTAGATCATTTGGCATATAAAACTTTGAGAAAAACAACAAGCTATCATCACGATCGGAAACAGTAACAAGATGAAGAAAAAAAAAAGAACTATTATTATCAACCATACTAATTATGCAATGAATAATCGTCTCGTCTATATAAAAAATCGTCCAAAGCCCTTAAGCCTGATTGATAAACGTACGCCAAGAAAGGAGAAAAAAAACGAGAAAGGCAGGCAATCGTGTGAATGACCTCGAGATTTGTCGAGTATATAAAAAAATCTAAGCGAAACGCTATCGTCATTTTTATTGAGATAGTGTAACGATTTATGAATAGATTGATAAATGTTAGTTTTCTTTGCCAGAGAAGTTCTTTTTTTTTTTATATTACATTTTTATCTATCTAAGATTTTACATAAAAGGTTAATACATCATCTACATTTTCCTAAACTGAAAATTGTTTAAAATGCTTTTGACATTTGAATGATTGTGTCTATGCTTACATACGTTTGTATATATTTGTGCGCACTCGGACGTCGGTCAGCTTCTGTCTGTCTTTTTCTTTTTTTTTTTCTATTTCTATAAATGCTATTGCTCCGAGCGGTATGATGAGAGAAAGAGAGATGGAGAAAGGAAATTCGATGATGATGTCTATTCTATGGCATCGTATGTGCATAGAAAGAAGATTAAGAAGAACAAGAAAGCTCAAAAATCAGTATAGAGCAAGAGAGAGAGAAAGAACGTAGCAAATATAACGAACATTATCATCTCATCTTCTTTCTAGTTGGTAACAAAAAATATACAATGATTGATAAGTTATTATTTATTTTGATTTGTTTCATTTATCCAATTGTTCATTCAGTAAAAGAAGGTAATTTAAACAAAAAAAAAAAAGAAAAAGAAAAAGAAGATTTTTTTTTGTTTTCGGTCTATTAGTTGTCTTATCAGATACACGTGAAGCTCGTGATTATTTAAATTGGTATAAAATTTCAACAAATGAATATTTAAATGATGGTTGGGGTGAATTAAGTTTTGATGCTAAAATGTATCCAACATTATTATTATCAACATCATCATCAACATTATGGCGTACACAATATGTATGTGATATAACATCAGAACGTCGTGTTGACAATTGGTTACGTTCACCATATTTAAAACGTCAACAAGCACAACGTATTGAAATAGAACTTGGTTTTTCTATACGAGATTGTTCAACATTTCAAACACCAAATGAAATACGTTCATGTCGTGAAACATTTGAACTTTATATATATGAAAATGATTATGAAGAAAATGAATTTTTATCATCATCATATAAATTAGTTGATATTATTGCTGGAAATCGTTTTACATCAAATACTTATGGTAATCAAATATCATCACATGGAAATAATTTAACAGTTAATGTTAAAAATCGTGGTATATCTATAAATAAAAATGGTTTTTATATTGCATTTCGTGATCAAGGTGCATGTATATCATTATTATATGTTAAAATTTTTTATCGTCTATGTCAAGATATATCAATTGGTCTTGTACATTTTCCTGAAACACCAACTGGATCACATTTAACAGATATTGTTGAACGTTATGGTATATGTACAATAGGTTCTAAAACAATTCAAAAACCTTTAGGATTTTGTAAAGGCAATGGTGAATGGACATTTCAAGAAATATCATTACATGATAGTTGCAATTGTCAACAAGGTTATGAACTACTTATTGATAATAATTCGAAGAATAATAGTCTTTTATCTCGTGCCATTTGTAAGGGTATGTATAAAGAAATTATTTGATTAGAACTAATCAACTATGTTCAGATAATCGTTTTGATTGAATTGTTCGATATAATAGATAGTTGTAAATCATCAAAATGATGTCTTTTGTACCCTTGAGAAAAGCATTTATGTTATTGTGTAGATGGCCTTGTACGCTTTCTAATACAATGCATGTCATTGTATTTCAATCCCAATAATTAAATTAGCCTGTCTTTTATTCATTTTACAGATGAATAGAAACAATCATTTTTTTCCTTACGTTCAATTCTCCTATCGTACACCTTTTCAAATATAATTATACATGGTCTAATGAGTTTATTATATTATTATCATTTATAAAAACTAGTATAGACTTTGATTTCCTTGTTTTATTTTTTTTTTCAGTTTGTCCATTGGGTACATATAAATCAACTATAAGTAATAATGATCGTTGTGAACAATGTCCATTGAATAGTTATACAACTAGTAAAGGTTCATTATCATGTATCTGTAATGATGAATTTTTTCGTTTAAATTCATCAATAGCTAATTCACCATGCATCAGTAAATACTAATAATTTATTCATTTAAATTTTTGAATTATTTATTAAAACAAAATAGGTAGTCCAAAGCAACCAGAAAATGTTACAATAGATGATATTGATCAAAATTCAGTTCGAATATCTTGGAAACAAGCACATGATAATATTTATCATATTGAATGTATTCATTTCACACCATGTGAATCATATATAACTTATGAACCAAATCGAACATTTGTTAATGGTTCAAGGTATTGACAAACATTTGATTCTTTTTAAAAAAAAAAACAAAGACTCATATTTTTATATAGTATAAAAATTTCTGGTCTTGATGATCATACAAATTATAGGATAAAATTATATTCTGAACATATATCAACACATTTATTCAGTAAACCTATTGATTTATCATTTACAACAAAACGTCCAAGTAAGCAAAAAACAAAATTGTTTTTTTTTTGATTTCCTATAAAGATAATAATAAATGTTTGTTTTTTAAGTATCT